TTAGAGGTACTGAGCAGAACTACAGTTTTCTATATATATTGAACATACATTGACATTTCACAATATTCGAGTTTTTTGATCCTATTTTCGATCCCATTTAACGCCTACTTTAATACTCTGAAAGACCTCAGAGACACTTTTTTTATTCCATTCCACTTATCAGCTTTGCCAAGGCGTCCTCTTTAGAACTTACAAATGGCATTTTGTGTTTTCTGCCATTTAGAGATGCTGATAAATAGGACCTCAGTTCCTATGTGTATTAAACGTATACTTATCTTTCAGAATATATAGATGTCAGGAAGGTCGGATCGAGATTAGGGTTGAAGTTTCAATGCGAGGTTTCAATGCAGATGTTTTGAAAAATTCAGGTCAAAAATACGACTCGAAATTTCGACTCGAGAGTGCACATGTGAGTCCGACGATATGTGACGACCTCGGGCCGTCGGCGTGTGGAGTCCTCCGAGCGGCGCATTCTCACGCGCGGTGCATTCCGTGAGATGCATTTCGCGCGATGTCACCCGCGCCGTCGCGACGAAACCACTCATCTTCGACCTAACATCGACTTCGTGTCGCCGACTACACTTTTTCGCTCGTTGTCGTCGTCGTCGGATCGGATTTTCCATATGCACGGCGCGGAATATCCGTAAGGACGAATATACGTGGGCGCAGGGAAAACTCGTGCCGGGGGAGACACGATCGATGCGCTTCGCTCTCTTCTCTCTCTCTCTCTTCTTCCTCTCTCTCTCACGTTGGTTCGCCCGGAAACTCCGTCCAGAAATAAGCCGGCGAGGGAAGAAGGTGCAGGGAGAGAAGCGGGGGAGACGAGAGGCCGGCGGCTTTCATGATAACTCGTGCGAGGATTCGAGTGATCGCCGCAAGGACGCGTGTTTATTTTTTATCCGCTTGCAACGTACGCGCCGTCAGTGTCGTCATTGTCGTCATTGTCGTCGTCGTCGTGTCTTTCCTCGGTGCGTGTCTACATCTAACTTTCCAATCGCAAAACGCATGATTTATTCATATAATGCGCTTCCTGTCCGGCATATCGATTGATATTCGACATTGTCGTCCCGGCAACTAACGAGAGAGCCCAGTGACACACACTTAGGGGGTATCAGTTCTCTCCCATGTTGGGGTAGGTTGGTAATAAACGCTCCAGACTTTTCCGCCTGAAACCCGCCGTTTCTCTTTCTCTCTCTCTCTCCCCCTCTCTCTCTCTCTCTCCTCTCTCTCTCGCGCGCGCGTGAAACAATTATTGATCGGATGGCAAACCGCGACGATTATGTCACAATCACGCGCTATTATCGTTACCGTCGTCATTAGTATCAATGTCGCAGTCGTGCGCGTCGCGCGCCACGTTAACACAGACTCGTTATTTCCACCGCTGCATGCGATCGACCGTAACCAGTAGCGGAAATTCTCCGAGAGAATATCACGCAAAGACACAATTTTTCGCGACCCCTTTACGAAGCCATGTCTCTCCAGCTTAAAGTCGATCTTCCTCCCGCTCGAACTTGAGCATCGCGAATTCCCAATGGAACATTTCCTCCTGCCCCGCTTCCTTCCACCCTCCGTCGCCGTCGCGTGCAGCGGTTCTGCATTATTTACGCGTGTTTGTTTTCAGCGCGACGGGTGTGTTTGCTGCCGCGAAACGGAACGCCGCAGTTCCGATCACGGCGGGAGCAACGACGACGTGACGATCATCCCGCGGCCGTGCGAGCATCTCCACGTCGTCGATCAAATCGAGGGCTTTCGGGTTTCTGGAGCACTTGGCCGTACAGTTTTAAAGGTCGGCGCCCTGTTCTCCTCCCCTGCCTGCTTGCCACCCTCCCCTGACGCGGCTAGCTAGCTTAGTTCGCTCGATATCTCGAAGCTGTTGTTAGGTCGAGCTCGCGGCGACTTCCTGGCGGGCGAACCGCGGCACAGCCCACTCGCACCGTTACGATGCCAGGCTCGATAAGGCGGTCCTTGTTAGGGATGAGTTGGCGAAAACTCAGCCATCGATATTCCATCGGGGGCGCATTCGCCTCGCTCTTTCCCCGCGCGCTCGCAGACGACCCGCACGATTTAAATTATTCCGACTCGCGAAATCGCACGTCTGGGGCGATCTCCATCGATCACGAATTATTCGATCTTCTAATGCTGCGCTGTTCAGTAAAACTTATGAACGTAAGACATCGATGACTTTTCCTCGCAAACAGCGATCACGTTTTTGAGAGATAAAAATTCATAGTAGAGGAATCTCTGGAGGTCCTAAGTAACGAGAAAACTCGTCTTTCGGATTCTCCAAATGTGCTCTGCTTTAATGACATTTTACTTTGAAACTCGACTATCGAGATATCTATTCGACGTAGAGAATTATTACGAATTCGCAAAAAAAGAGAGGGACCAATGCAAAAAGAGAGGAACTCAGTCGAATTTTCTTTTTCTGGTGAATAACGAGAATGTAATGAACGAAAATTCACAATGAAAATTCACAATGAAAATTCACATGCGAGATGTCAACCTCTTTAATTGTTTTCGCGATTATTCCTCAATTTAGGAGAATTAGCTACGCGCGCTGCTCAACATGAAACTACACCCTGAGAGAATACATATCTAAGAAATAAAAAATATTTATCTATATATTTACAATTTATATATATGATTAATTATTACTTTTTATTATATATATGATTAATTATTACTTAATAAATAATTAATTTATATATATATATATATATATATATATATAAAATTAATTTATAATTTTTATATATATAATAGAATGTCTGTCTATATATTCCCAATGTAAACCTCGGAATTTTAAGTAACGAGAAATTTCTTTTTTTCTTTCAATTTCTCCACAAATGTACCTTCCTTTAACGATATTTTGCTTTAAGAAATTCGGTTTGTTGAGAGGCTTAATACCTTCAACAGCGGGAATTACGATCTTGTGGAAAAAGAGGCGACCAACGCTTGATTGAATTTTCTTTTCCCCGTAAATAACGAGAGAGTACAAAATTTAAACGACGTAAATTTATAATGAGGTCCTCGGAGTTCCAAGTAATAAAAAATCTCGTTTTCCTCAAGTCTTCTAGATGTATTCTCCTTTAACGATATTTTGATTTGAAACTTGGTCGTCAAGAGATACCTACTCGACGTTGCGAATTACGCAAAAGGGGACGACCGATGCTCAATCAAATTTTCGCTTTCCTCGCGAGTAACGAAGATGCAGGTTGAAAAGATCAAAATTTTTATAACGGTGACCTCAAAGTTCCAAGTAACGAGAAATCTCATTTCCTTCAAGTTTCCCGAATATACTTTTTTTAACGACATTTTGCTTTGAGAAACTCGGCCATTAAGAAGTTTAATATTCTCAATCGAGAATTGCAAGCTCACGCAAAAAGAGGGCTCACGCAAAAATGCTCGATTGAATGTACTTTTTCTTGTGAATAACGAAAGTACAAGCTTAAAAGACAAAAATTCCTAATGAAGAACTCGAAGTTCTAATAAGAAATCTCGCTTCTGAAGTTCCCGTTTTCACATCTCATTCCTCGGGTCCCTTCAGATGTACTCTCTTTTAACGAAACAGTTTGATTTAAAACTCGGTCGTCGAGAGATACGTATTCGACGAATTACAACGTCGCGCGAATTACGAGCTCGCGAGGGAAAAGGAGGAGAGAGCCGGTGTCCAATCGAATCTTCGCCGCGGGAAAAAAACCCAATTCTGACCGGCCGTAGCGCAATATACGTCCGCACAGTTCTCCATGGCGTTAACCGAGCTTTCAAACACTTCTGTACACATATATTTTTCTTTCTCATTCACCCTTTGCACATGCACGTTCGCCTGTTTGACCTGGCTCTCTCGACGCTACTGTGTAAAAAGACTCGCGGAGCGGTAAAGTAGGTACTTCACCGGCGGCCGAACTATTGATAGCACTACCAACGTGGCCTTTGAGAGATTCGTCTTGGTCCCCGCCTTCTTTTTTAGACTGCTTCATTCGACTTGCCGCGTGGGCACGACCGGCCGTCTACCCACGCCATCGTCGTCGTCGTCGTCGTCGTCGTCGTCGTCGTCGTCGTCGTCGTCGTTGTCGTCATCGTCATCGTCGTAGTTTCTCCAGCCAGTCCAGCGAACACCCCGGCTAACTGGAGCTCAACGCGAAAAATCGCGCTTTATAGTCCCCTGACAGTCGTATAATACCCGTCGCGTTATCGTTCATTCGCGACGGATCAAGCCGGCGATGGCCGCTAACGAGGTGCCGTATAGCAACGTTTCTATCCGACCGAATCGTCCCGCGAATAGCATCCGCGAATAGGCGACAGTAAAATACCGCATTTCGAGATGTCGACCTCTTTAATTGTTTTCACGATTATTCCTCAATTTAGGAGAATTAGCTACGCGCGCTCAACATGAAATTATATACACTCTGAGAGAATACATATCTAAGAAATAAAAAATATTTATCTATATATTTACAATTTACATATATGATTAATTACTTGATAAATAATTAATTTATATATATAAATAACTTATTTATTTATATATATAATTAATTTATAATTTTTATATATATAATAGAATGTCTGTATATTCCCAATTAACTCCTAAACTCTTTAACCGAAATATAAAATTTTTCCAATAAGAAAATATAAGTTTTCTTATTGGAAAAGTTATAGTTTTCTTCAAACTTTAATTTTTCAAATTTTCTTCGTGTATATTTCTCTCTAGGATCCTGCGGAAAATACAGGCTACATGAAACTCGGACAGCCCATCTCTTCCCCCTGATTTCATTCCCTTGACACTTTGTGAGAATTTAAGTTTATATCTTACTAGGTATAAGAGAAACTGGGCGATGGCGAGTAGCTTAAGCTAAAATATCTTTAAAATATAAGAAAATATACATTTTCTCCAAGTTTTAGCTTTTTATGAAAGCAATTGTTTACTCTATTTAAGTAAAAGAATTAAAATCGATACGTGATTTGCACTCACTGAATAAATATTTCTTATTTTTCAGATATTTTTCCTGTCAGTGTGGAAAAGTTTTCGCGAAGAAGAAACTCCGCTCAAAAAAGTTCGCATCTTGTGAAATTCCGTTGGCATCTTCGACGACGACAACTTTGCGAACGGAAATCGCACACGAAAGAACGTCGAAGTGTGCCTTACTTTCTGAAAACGATTAATTATAATTCATGTTTATAACGAAAAACACGATATCACCGAAACGTATAATTGCAAAGAGCGTTTGTAGGTTCATCGAATTACGAAAAGAGAACGCGAGTGTATAAATACCCTCTCGAATAAAATAAATATTCCAATTTCTATCGTATCCAATTTCTATCGAATATGTCGAATATGTAACATATTGTACGTGCATTTTTCTCTTTTTACTTTGGCATCGTGAGGCGGCATATGCACTAGCCGGTTAATCGATTTTCTAAATTACTGGAACGCGGAAATTTATTGATAATTTCGATGAAGCATGAAATTGCCTGTGCGATGTTGCCCCGCCGGGATGTAAATTACACCCGGCCCTGACCATTCTCGAGTTAAACACGTCTGGCACATGCAATCGCGATTAAACGTATCTAAGATTAAGCGAGGATTACGTCCATTAGAGGGACTCAAGATTGTAGCTCAGAAAAGTGGACAGAATAACCCGCGCGTCTAAAAATGAAATTCAACGGACGTTAATGTGTACAATATTTACATTGAATAAAGTAATATAATAACATTAAAATCACTGTCTTTACTTCTTGCATTATCATATTACAATATAACCAACACAACATTAACTTTTTAATTTATTAATTGACAAATAATAATAATCAGTCGCGAAGGATCTGCGTTACAAGTACGAGAGAAATCGTACCCTCGTTTTAGAAATTACAGTAATATTAATTAGTAATCGTTCGTATATCATTAGGCAATTATATATTAGTGACTAACTTATAGTATGTTAATTGTTTAGTACATTACAGCTGGCGAGTAATAATTAGCAACGAATCAGAGACTCACGTTAGAAACGTGAAAAACGCTCGGCGAAGTGCGAAGGATTGTCTGCGCTATTTACCAATTTGATAATAACAGAAGCGGGGAACCGAGGGTGTCACAACGGCGTATACGTTGTTAACCGCGAACTCAATCATGAAAATCCGCCGGCGAGCGAGACCTTTGTGAAACGAGTTGCATGTGTTTCGGTGTAATTACGATCCTCGATATTGCATCCTTGGTCGCATTAGCAGCTGTGATTTTCGATAGGGTGTGTCGCGCGTGTACACAGAGGGAATACAATTGACAGTTACAATGCGTGCGTGTACGTACGGTGCAAAATATATGGCGCTTTTAACGCGATCGCGGGTCTCGAATTAACATTTAGAGTAATTTGTTTGTCGCGTGCGAAATTATTGCAATACTAACATGGATTCCTTCGCTGGTATGATATTGCCGAACGAGATAAAGAAATAAAGAGGCAAAGGCGCAGAAAGAGAGAGATAAAGAGAGAGAGAGAGAGAGAGAGAGAGAGATTGATTTAATAAGATTTAGGGTAAAATTAAAGTATATAGTAGTACACTGAGAGAAAAATCTAAAAATTAATAAATATTTATTGGATTAATTTATATTTAATGGATTCTAATAACATATTTATTTAAATCTAAATTATTTTATTTAAGTAAAGTAAACAATTGCTTTCATGAAAAACAAAGGTTTCACGAAAATAAGTATTCTCTTATTTGTAACATATTTTACATTAGTATAAACATAAATATATGTGTTTTATTGATACCCATCACAAATAAATATTCCTTATTTTTTAGATATTTTTTCTCTCATTGTAGGAGTATAATATGTTTATGCGTGTATGTGTGTATACAACAATAAAATGAAAAAGAGAGAAAACAGAATATCATAACAGATATAACTCAATAATATAAAGTTACAGATGAAATAATAAAATGAAAGGGGAACAGAAGAAATTTTAATTAATAATCAAAAAAAAAAAAGAAAGAGAGAGAAAGAGAAGGGAAGAGCGCAATCGTCGATGCGTGATCGTGCGAACGCACGTCTCGAAATCCAGTTTGAAATGGCGCAATTGATAAATTCCGCGGAATAAACACACGCGCGCGTAATTTTGCACGATAATTAAGTGCGCTTCACCGAAACGTATTGTTCCCGCATTCCGCGCTAGAGCTTGCGGAATAAATGAATAGCTGATGCGTAAACACGTAACGAATTTAAATGTAATTAGGAGTGGTTATTGTCGGAGAATGATTTCGGGACATTTTCGCTGGCCAATCGATAGTGCGAGTGCGTGCGGAACGTGACGAATGACGAGTGCGCCGTTTCTCCAACAAAACACAATCGTCACTCGCACATTCTTTCAGTTATTCATCGTTCGATATGAGAATATACAGTAGACGGATGTTGGGGGCGAAATATGAATGTAGCAAATTACAAGCGACACGACACTCCAATTGCGCTCTGGCAAACGGCGACGACTTGAATTTCACTGTAATCAGACCGCGATTTAATTTCCACTATGCTCGGGACGTTTGTATATCACGGCGATCAACAGGGAAGTATTGAGACACGGCGGGGCGGCACACGCCGCTTGTTTATCGATAGTTGTGGAGCAGGAAGTCGAGGCAGCGCGAACTTCAGCGAGGCGAAGGCGTATCGTATCGTCGATCGCGTCGGCGCCGATAAATCCGCCTGTTCACAGCCACGTAGCAACGAACGAGCGAAAGAACGAATGAACGAACGAACCAACGAGCGAGCTTCCTCATCGTCGCCATCGCCGCACGAGAACCCGTACACATCCGAGGCTACGGCCCTGGAAAATCGCTCCGCTTCGGCCGAGAGAGCGACAGAAACGTAAAGGGTGTTACCGTGCGCGCTTGCCGGTGTCTATTAATGTCGCGGGCCTATTTCCGGATATATCTCGTTGCCGTGCGAAAATTTACCTCCCTCTCGCGGAACGGATATCGATCGATACGCGCGGCCGCGATGACGGTCGAAAGGTGAGGTGGCGACGAGGGCGCGAGCGCGAACAAGCTCGCTTTTGCCGCTGCGAGGCCTTCGCAACAGCCGATCTTGCGATTTCGCGAGCAGGAATAATGGGAAGGAAAAGAGCGGCCCCGTGAGATTTGCCTCGCGGTCTTCCTCGGTCAATTATGTCACTCGCATCTTCCTGTGGACACGTTTCGCTTGGCGCAACGGAAGAAAAGGGTTATAAGAAAAGAGGATCATAAAAAGCGGAAGGAATCGCGAGAAACGGGAGAGGAGTGAGATTATAAGGACCTGTATAGAAGGTCGGTCGCTTATAGACCCCGAGCGTTGTATTCTCGTCACGCATTTAGGGCTAAAAGTGGACGGTTCCATCCTCCTTTCAGGCTGCTTAAATGCGTTTCTCCATTTCTTACACTGAGAAAAAGGTTCAATAATAACCGTCAAGCTTGAATAATAGTTGCCAGATGCTTCGGAGAAATAGATTTAGGTTTCACACACAGGTGAGTATCATTAAATAATTCCGAAAGCATTAAGAGATGACCTTAGCAAGACTCAGTGAGTCAGTTGGTAAGGCTTAATCTTATCTGTCGCGAAAACTTTGCGATTATTACCAATTCATGTGGCACGTGTCACCAAAATTTATTAAATAAAATTATATGTTTTTAATGATAAAATTATTTACTAATTATCACCAAAATCGCTCGGTATTACTTACCAAGCCATTTATAATTGACTCAACTAAATGGAGAATTTGGTTTACTAATTATTTTGCAATTATTACCAAACAGTTGATAATATTTACTTCAACTAATTACTAAAATGCTTAATAAATTGCACTATTATACTTAATATAATACTTAATCAATTGTATTGTTGCACTAAAATGCTTAATCAAATGCATTTGTTAACTATCACAAGGTTTTTTCCATATACAATATGTCTCATATCGTACAAATGATATATAATAAGTCGTACAAGTGACTAATGAAGAGCAAAAGGATTGAATGGAATTACATGCGCGGTGTGTGTAGAATTATTTTTACATAAGTCTTCTCATAAAAATAAAAACAAATATACGTGTACCCTTCAAGTTGTACATTCAACAGTGGATTCGCAGGTCTTAAAACACTTTTTGGGGTAGCTATAATCAACGATAGGATTCGAAGCGCGAATTCTATTCGCAAGAAGATATTCTAAAGCCCGTATTAATAGTCGTTACTAGAAACTTGCTTCACTCAGGTAAGACACTCAGATTTTAACTTAAAGTTAGACCTGAGTTTCTCAGCTGAATTGCGATTGTAAATGTAATGTCACATGTATTATATAATTCAAATAAAGAACTTTCATTTCAAACTCTAAATTCAGATTTGAGTATTTCACGTAGGATTTGCGTAGGAAAGCGGAAATTTTAAGTAACGATTATTAATACGAGCTTAAATATCGTAATTACGCTCATAGACATGTACATACAAAAGCGCACGAAATATAAACTTAAAATTAGAACTCTGCCTCGGATTCCGTTGCGAATTACAAATTGTAACTAAAAAGCAGCGCGCTATAATAATTTGCTACGTTATCGATTAAATTTGAGGCGTCTTTCTCTCTCTCTTATTCTTTTTCCAGAAACATGATATTTCATATTTCGACACCGACATATATCTTGTAAGCGGCTTTCGTGAGCGGATATCAGCGTCGATATCAATGGAAGACTTCCGACATCGCATAGCGCCGGATAAACGCTTGTGCCCCGAATTCAAGATATTTGATCTCTCTAAAGCTAGCAGAAACAAATCAGAAGAATCAAATCGGACTTCCTACATTATTTAGTATCCATCTTGTACTAATTTGTACCACCAAAAAAATTTTTTATACTTCTCGTGCTATTTTAGAAAAAAAAAACAGTAGCGTTGCTAACTTAATATTAAGCCAGCAAAACTGTACGAAAAAAAGAAAAAATATATAAGTAAAAGACTTTATACTCGAATTTATACTAATTTGTATCACCAAAGGAAATATTAAACTTTGCGCCATTAAAAAGACAATAGCAACATTGTTATCTTAATATTAAGCCAGCAAGACTACACAAAAAAAAGCGTAGAAATAGAAAAGCCTGAATCTGTAGTAATTTGTACCATTAAAAAATTTTAATTTTGCATTCATTCTTGTTGAAGGAACCCCCGATTTTGATACCATCTATATTATATTACTAGTATATAAAGATACTTTACTCTTGAGGCTAATAGATTGGATGTGATTTTCGAAAGAATGATATTTTATACATAGGTACAAAATCTGAAATTTTATATTGGAGTAATACAAATTACTGCGTCACTGCTGTGAGAATATGGATTATTTCTGCTGGTAACTTTGGTTTTGAGATCAATAAAGGTGGAATCAATCGGAGGTTGCTTCTACAAAAATGAATACAAAATTAAAATTTTTTGGTGGCACAAATTAATACAAATTCGAGCCTTTCTCTTTAAGTTGTTTCTCTTTTTTCTTTTCAGGTGATATCGAGCGACCCAATAAATGGCTTGATTGCGAGTCGCGGCACGATCGGCCGTCCAGCCAGCCAACCGATCGATCAATGCCGCCGCAGAGATTTCGCAGTTACTGGATGCATCGTGAGCAAGCAAGATACCAAATTTATCTCGTTGCAGCCGGACGCGAGTATGTGTTGCGGAATGCGATGTTTCGCATTAAGTAACCGAAAGAGCTCGCGCGCAGACGTGGCGCGTTTAGCGTGTCCGGCGGTAACATGTGATAGTTTACGGCTTATATACGAAGAGAATACTATA